CAATTATTATTATTATTATTATTATTATTATTATTATTATTATTATTATTACTTAGAATGTACGTTTGAGGGTTATTTTCTGTGTAGACAGTGTAGGCATAGTACAAGTAGCTCTAAATCAGGGGTGTCCAAACTTTTTTTTATTGGGGGCCACATGGAGAAAAAAATATGGAGCAGTGGGCCACCTCTAATATAAAAACAAACAAATAATACCAGAGATAAGTGCATTCCAATAACCAAATTGCCTTGTAATTTAGGGGACTACCCTAATAAGTGAGTTTTAAGCATTTTATACAGTAAGCTTGAAATGACCTATATAAATAATGATATTATCTAATTTTAATATACCTGTGAGATTTCACAAATTTTACTCACTAGTGATGACTACTAATGGGAACAGTGATGCTGTGCCTTGGACTGAAGAACAGCTGTCAAGTCAGGTGTTAGTGTTGTGGAGATTCAGAGCACATCATAGACATACTTGCCACTGAACTCGGTGAAAAAGTATAAAGTAAGTCATTTTGCCAGCGTGGCTGGACTCTCCGGCATTCGCTGTCAATTTTTAGTTTCTTTGGTTCCGCCATTTTGAAAAGCTTGCTAACGTTAATGTACAGAATTAAAGTTTTGAAGAGGGTAAACCACTGAAGTGGTTTTGGTAATTATATATTGCCATACATACATGATTTTCTTGACCGGGATGTTATCTTTAAAATAATTTCCATTTTTAGACTCAAGTAACACCCTGTTTCATCCTCATCACATACAAAAGCTACATACTCTTCATACAGGGTTCTCAATATTAATCTTTCAGGTGGCTTAGATCTACAGGAGGATGCCTCAAAGCTGTTGCAGTGTATGTGATGTCATCATTTGAATTTGTTATGGTATCCACTACACTATACTGTAGCTTGAAGTGCTGTCTCTATGAGGTGAATGCATACTATAGCGGTTCAGTGAGGCAGTATTATTTCATGCCTTGTAAAATTACGGATGAGTACCTTGATATAGGGAGCAAATGTGACGCTTCCAACTAACCCATCCACAATATCTAATCGTTCCTGAAGGTTATTTTCTTCATTAGGCTCAAAGACCACAACTGTTTCAGTCATTTCAGGTACAAAAGGCAGTCTGTATTTTATATACACATTCTGACTATGGGGAATAAAGACATCCTGTGATCCTACTTGCACAAAGCCAGACTCCTTCTCAGTATTTTGACTTTATACAGTGCTCACTATTGCAGTAGCTTTTTCTTCTTGAAACTCCATTGCTTTACTAAGACAACTGGTCAATGCCGACAAAGTTTTCTGTGTTCCCCCTTCATTTTTAGTTACATTAAAGCCTAAAATTAGCCTCTCTAGAGTCATGGGATTCGCAAAGAAGGCCATGTGGGTGGAAGGACTGGGGTCATCAATAACTTGTAGTAATTACCTATACATCAAGCCATCTGTAGGAGCCATGTGATGTTTAATTTGGTTATATTCATTTAAAAACAATCCTATAAATATGTTAATGTTCTACTATTTGAAAACCACATTGGTTTGTAAATTGTGCGTAATGTCCCCATTAAGACGGCCAATCACCGATGTTCATTAATTTCAAGTTTCAGGTTTCAAAAAACAGAGAGGAAATTAGAGCGCAGTGGTTCTGACGTGCTTGTGTAGGTGCGTGTTTTGTTTACTTGAGTTTTGAGGACCAGTTTTGGTATTGTGGAAAACTCCTTTTTTTGTTTGTTGACCAAACCAAAGTGAATGTGAATAAAACATGTTTAATTTTTAAACCTTGTGAAGTTTATTATGGAGTCTACACGGGCATAGTCAGCCATAAGCTTGCCTTTCTTACGGTAGAACTCGGATACTATACCATTCATCAGAAGGTATGATCTTCTTTTGTGGTGGGGCAATTGTTCTTTCCAATTACGATACAGAATCTTAAACTGAATCTCCGTGCATTGTAGAAATGGAATTTCTGATAGGCACCAAGCTGTCAGGAGAGTGGCAGTGGTTGTGTACTGCAGCAATTTTTTACTTAGCTCCTTTTAAAGAGCTAACTTTTTTAAATTCAGCTCTTGCTAAATCAGCTGACAAGAAGGCCATTTTTGGTGGTTCTCCCTCCTCATCCTCATTTTTGTTTTGGAAATTATTTGACTCGTCATTACATTTTTGGATCAAGTATCACACATCATGTATCAGCTGCCTTAGTAAGGACAACCCTGTGCCACTCCCTGAATCCTGATCCTCTAAGTCTAACAATTCATTACCACAGACATACTGTAAGTACACGCAGAGTCAAAACAACTTTCTTCAACATTTTTATCTAAATCAGACAGATCCCAGTCTGCTGTAAGTCTTCATCTTGTCATCTTGAACAGTGTAGTGTCTTCAGCCTCAGGATCCCCTTCCACATTGATGTTCTACTAATCTGGCTACTTTGCTTCTCTGCACCTGCCTCATAGAACACTTCAGACTGCTCTGATCTGTTTGCCCTGGGTTCTTAAATCACCAGATCAGCTTCTTCAGACATCAGATGCTGATCCTTGGACGGGCACCCAAATTTCTGTTGCAAGTCTTAGGTAGAGACACAAGTAGCAGGTAATGTTATTGTTAAATGAGGGAAAATAAAGACCCAGGATACCAGATACAGTCAGCTGAGACTTGTGGTTTTCCTCATTCAATTCTGAGGTAAAACCACAACAGTTATTTGACTGTATACCTCCGTCAACATTTTAACCAACTGTCAGACTCCAGCACTACAGTATGCCGTTTCCAATAGAGAATATTGTTGTTGTTTTTTTCTTTTTAACCATGGGTGCGTGTCCCTTAAATGACTGATTGGATTGGACATTTCTTTGTGTGCCTGCAGGACTGCAATCATATTTTTTATTTCATTATAAAATGACGAATCAGTTCATTGTTATTTTTTCATTTATGAGTCAGTCATTCTGAGGGAGCTCTCGATTTTTGCCTGTATGATACACTGGTTTTACACATCCTGATTTCCACTATTATTGCATACAGTATTTGTCACACCGGATGTTGTCAGATCTTTAGACAAAATCTAATATTAAATAAAGGGAACTTGAGTGAACACAACACTTTTTTAATTATTATTTCATTTATTTGATAAACAAAGGTATCCAACACCCACATCCCCTGTGTGAAAAAGTAATTGCCCTCTTACACTTTGTAACTGGTTGTGCCACCTTTAGCTGCAACACCTTTAGACTTCAACATCAGTCTTTCACATTGCTATGAAGGAATTTTAGCCCACTCTTCCTGACAGAACTGCTTTAATTCAGAAACATTGGTAGGTTTTTTGAGCATGAACTGGTCGTTTCAGTAGTATTTCTATTGGCGTTAGGTCTGGATTTTGACTAGGCCACTCCAAAACTTTAATTTTGCTTCTTTTCAGCCATTCTGATGTGGACTTGCTTTTGTGTTTTGAATCATTGTCTTGCTGCATGACCCAACTACGCTTCAGCTTCAGCTCACAGACAGATGACCGGACATTCTCCTTAAGAATTTCTGACACAGAGCAGAATTCATGGTTCCTTCAATTATGGCAAGTCGCCCAGGTCCTGAGGCAGCAAAGCATCACCACACCATCACACTACCATCACCATGTTTGTTCTTACTGTGGAATACTATGTTTACGCCAGACATGATAGGACCCATGTCGTCCAAAAAGTTCCACTTTTGATTAATCTGTCCATAGAATATTCTCCCAAAAGGCTTGGGGATCATCTTGGGGTGCTTCTTGGCAAATGAGAGATGAGCATTTATGTTCTTCTTGGTTATCAGTGGTTTCCACCTTGCTTCTCCCCTATGAAGCCCAGTCTCTTTCTGATTGTGGAGTCATGAACACTGACCTCAGCTGATGCAAGGGAAGCCTGCAGTTCTTTGGATGTTTTTTTAGGATCCTTTGTGACTTCCTGGATGATTTTATGCTGCGCCCTTGGAGAAATTTTGGCAGGCCGGCCACTCCTGGGAAGATTTACTGTGGTTCGGTGGACCCTTTCCAGACTGATGGATATCAACAACTTTTTTTCTGATCTCTTCAGGAATTTCCTTTGATCGAGGCATAATGTGCTTGCTGAATCTTTGAGCTGGTAATGTGACTCTGATGGTAAGGGTCAAAATACAGAAAGTGAGGTTTATATTGAGCAGGGCTGGCTGTAATCAAGCCTGGTGGTGTTCAATCAGCTGACTCTAATTATTCCTTTAATTAGGTTGATTTAACTAGGGGACAATTACTTTTTCACACAGTGCCAGTTGGTATTAGATAACTTTGTTCATTAAATAAATGAAATAAGTAAAAATGAAATGTGTTATTTGTTCACTCAGGTTCCCTTTATCTCATATTAGATTTTGGTTGAAAACCTAAAAACATTCAGTGGAAAAAAAATGCAATAATAGAGGAAATCAGGAAACAGGGACATTTTCACGACACTGTATATTAAATTTACTATCACATTTTCTGTATAGAATATTTTCTAAAATAGAATGTCAATAGTATTATCATCTGTCATCTTTGGGATTACCACCCATTTCCTCGTACCATCTAAAGACATACTGGTATGTTAATTGGCTTCTGGGAAGACTGGCCCTGGTGTGAGTGTGTGAATATTTGTGTCTGTGTGTGCCTTGCGATGGATAGGTGTCTCTACGAAATTAGCTTTCTTGAACAAACTGAAAATAGAGATCTCTGGGAATCACATCACAATTAAAACTCAAATGTTTATTATTATTAAAATTACTGTAGCTAGAAAAATTGAATACTGAGTAATTTACTGTGTCTGTATAAGTCACTGCTGGCCCTGTCCAAGGAAAATTGCTTATACTGGAATTTTTTATGAATCTCTTCAATGTCTGAAATCTTTATGGTCTGTCTCTTACAAGTGTCAGTGGATAAATGTTCTAGGAAATGCTAATTGGCATATGATATTGCAGTGCGCCAAGTCTGGAAGCTGTGGCAGTAATTAGGCATGGACACTCCAGGGCAGAACTCTTTGTATGACCTAATGAAGGAAAATGGCAGTATGGGCATCACATAAATTAGTGACGTCCATGAAAACCACCCATTCTTTGCCATTATTCTGATTCTCTTGAAAAAGTAACTAAATTGCCTGAGTACATTAGTTGGAGGTAAATTATTTTACTACCCCACCTGTTTGCAGCTGCTCTGTGTGACAAGTTGGAGCTGACCCCAGCCTCTGTGAGCACTATATAGGTCTGGTACTGTACTACATTCAGCACTGACCACAGCAAAGTAGAAAAACAGATTTGTAAAGGTTTTTTTTTCATATTGTGCAAGGCAGATCCTGTCTTTTGTTACATAATTTTAACTAAAGTCTTAAAATTTAAAAATGAGCTGTGATGAGTTGCATAAGGATGAAGGTTGTAGAACTGAGCTGTCCAGGAGCTTGTTGAAACTACAGCCAGATTGGCCCATCAACACCTACTCACTGATCTGAAGCACTTTAATCAAAAATATAAATCTGCTTCTTACTCTTGATTTTACCTGTCATTGACATCTACATCAGGCATGTAGTTATTTAAATATGTAATTATCTTTAGTTTTAAAAATCTGACTTCTAAAGAACTAAACTAAAAGTGTCACCCTGTAACATAACATGTAATAAGTTGTTAGCTAACGGGTACAAAAAAGTTATGTTACCGGAATAAACATTGATGTACAGTTTACAGCCTGTCTGACATGTTAAAGAGGGAGACAAAAAACTCTTTATTGTCAGTATTAGCAATACATGATTGGTGGAAGCTGTTGTCTTAGCATAAATCATGATTTAAGCCTACATATTTTCTATCTGGTATATTAGGACTACTTATTATACCTTAAATCAAAGTTGCTATATCCTCTACATGTGTGCTTCTTGTCTCCTGTTTTCCAGGATTCTTCCTGCTGAAGATCGGGAAAGCATTGGCCGTCTCTGTAAGCTTCTGATAGATGAAGGCAGGGTCGATTACCTGCGGCGGAAAGGCTACGCTGCTGAGTTACAATACTACACCAGTCCAGACATTTCCTTAGAAAATGTACTCCTCACTGCTGTACCTGTCAAGACTCCCTAATAGAACAGGTAATCTGTTCTGCGCAGCTGTGACTGGAATAAGTATATCCTGTCTGTGGAGCTGAAGGCGAATATCCTTGGTCAGTGAAAGACAGAGTGCTTGACAGAAAGCTTGGAGAGAAAAGTCCTGAGTGAGAGTCCAGCCACTTCAATCACAGTCCCAGTGAATCTTCCTGAACGGCCTCAATTGCAACATTTAATACGGATTTGAAATTAATTTTGGTATCTGAAAAAGAAAGATAATTTTTTACTTGGATACACATGTTGTATTAACAAAATGTTCTTATTATCTGTCCTTATGGAAGTATTTTCTTCTCTATATGATTTTTTTAGCTTGTTAGATGTATGTGTAGGACCCCTGAAGATGTTGGTCTGTACCTGTTACTTGCTCAGAAGGATTTAATTTTGTGAGTTTTACATCAGAGAGAATGCCCCTGGTGACATTTCCCAGGGTTCATATGAAACTTTGAAACCCCCTGGATGTCCTAGAAAATTGCTATAATAAAATGAAGTCCTGGAATACCCTGGAAATGTCTCTGTCTCATAACATTGTTTTTTAATTCAGTCTTAAAAATAAATTTTCCTTTCCACATTCCTTTTATTGGAGCATAAGATTTGATTCGCTGGTCTTTAATTTGTGACTGAACCTTTACCTTTTTCACATTATGCAATAATTTGAGTCCTCAGTTTTTTAATTTCAGCATTATGAGTGAAATAGTGTCTATAAGCGAGTTTGCACAGAGAATCGAGGTTGAAAGTAATAGAACTATTTTATCAAGCATCAGTGTATGCCAGTATCTCAGAAAATGGGCTGTTGTACTCCATAAATTGTATGACACAATGAACACCCCATTGAAACACATGGTGCTGTGCCTGATGTCTCTGTACTGAGCACCACATGTTTTTACATGCTGTTATGGCATCACGGTACTACGTGGCAGGGAAGAGAGCGATGCCAGAACAATTATTTTATTGTTATGGAGTTACCTTTGTTACAGAATTGCCCCTTATACAAAGTCCTTGTTTCCGATAACCTTTGAGGCTAAGTGTATATGTACTGCTCTTATCATTGTTTAAAACACAGTGCTTCAGATCATTTTTGGGGTGTTGTATGACGAAGTCTAAATCAACCTTGCTACTCTTTCAGGGAACAAAAAAACTTGCATACAGTATGTCTTAAGGTGTTAAGTAAACAGTATGATTTTTGCTTAAGTACGATTTATACAGCCTGAGTAAAGTTTTTATAGTATATAATATGTAAATGTTATTTATAATAGAAATGTTATATAAAATATAAATGCAGCACAGCCAAATTTAGCACAGACTGAGTATGGCACTATTATGAAGCCTTATCCCTTTAAATAATCACTTGGTTTGGTCCTCGATTGTCTGTGATTGTCTATAGGAATCCTGTTTTTTAAGTGTCTGTATAAATTCGACCTGTTCATCTGCTGTCACTGCTGTTGCAACTACAAGTCTTGCCGTCCATATGAAAAAAAACCTCAAGCGTGCCCATCAGGGCATTTTGGATTGCATTACTCCTTTTTTTGTGCTTTGCCTATTGATACAAAACTACTTTTTTCATTATGCTCTAAACATGTTATATATTCACAGTTTTGTAATATATCAAATTGCAAACAGTTCTTTGTCTTTTTTTATACTATAGCATCTATTCTACCACTACATGATGCATGAGACCGTAATGTGTCGTTTGCCCTTGTAAACCTCCGAAGTGAGAGATGAGGCACAGTAAACAGAATCCACCATTCCTTGGAAAGACGAGATAAAGAGGTGACTCATTAGTATACAGCCATCAGTGCTGACACAATAAACCAGGAGTGTGAAATTTTAATTAGCTGCCACACGTTTGATACTGTCATAAGATAAATAATTAACCTCTGCTTTTTGATTCCTGGATGTAGGCCTGCATGAATTCCCTCCCAAACATCTCTCTATCGTCCTCGTCTTCCTCAGACATGACCATCCTTGGCAGAGTCACCTTTAGCTTGAGAGGATTGTCTCTGAAGTTGACAAACCTAGAAGAACAGGGTATATTATAAGTTATTTGGGGAAGGTACAGCAACTAGTTTGAAAGTTCAGATGGAAAGCAAACCATTCTTTCGAATAAGTGGCGTAATGAAGCACTTAAAAAGCTATCATTGTCAGCCATTCCCAAATGGAGAGGGAGTCCCTAAAAGCTTACTACAGTAAGCTAGTATTCTAGTCGGTGACCAGTCAAAGACACGTGACTGGAGCCAAAGATTAAATGATGGAATTCTGCTGCATACCAGTTTTTTTTTAATCTCAGAACCATGGTCTCTCGTGTAAAAAGATTCCACAAAAACTTTCATCCAACATATGCAGTCCCTCTTCTAATAGGATTTACAACGCAGTTATGAAATGGAAGTGCTTTGAATATGTTTTTATACACAGCAGTTCTGTCTTTCATAGAGAACTTCTGATATTAAAGCTCCTCATGTGGGTACCTCAGGTTCACCATGTTCTCCATGCAGACTGGGATGTCCTGGAGCTGGTTACTGCTGAGTACCAATGTTCCCAGATTTGTCATCTTACTGATACTGTCTGGAAGAAACCTGATTTCATTCCTCTGTAGCCACAGAGTGTGCAGATTTTCCATTCTGTGAAAAAAAA